CGCTCAAGCTGATTGTTAAGATGATTCTTGCAATAAATCTCTGTGTCCTGTTCTTCAATTCTTTGCATTTCCCAAATGTCCCTCTTTATTTTCATGTTTCATTGATTTTTTAAAAATATATTTTTTAGTTGTAGATAGGCACAGTGTGTTCGTTTGTTTATTTACATATTTTTATGTGGTGCTGAGGATGGAACCCAGTGCCTCAAGCATGCAAAGCAAGCCCTTTACCACTGAGCCACAACACCAGCCCTATTTCATTGATTTTGTTGTAATTCAAGGGAGCAGATGTTGATAGCACTGAAAATACTGATTGACCTTTCTGAGGGATAATAAAATGAGAAGGTGCAGAAGGAACATTATAGTGTACCCTTTCTGCTACCTAAACCATGGTCTTTGTCCCCATTGCCTATCCAATAAAGATGACAGGGTTTGAGAAAAATGGGGAAAAGAGTTTTATTGTTTTGCTAGCTAAGGAGAAACATGGAGGACTCCTGTCCCAAAGGGTGTGATTCACTCTGCCTTGGGGAATACAGGGCTGTTAAGAGGAAAACGGAGGCTAGCATTCAACTATTATGGGTAGATACAATTAGTGGGCATCCATGTGTGTCCTTGACAAGTGTTGCAGGAATTCCTAGATTTGGGATAATGTAGGTTTTTATGGCTACTAGTTTTCATGTAAGAACTCCTTCTGCTTTGCTCCAAAAGTTTTGCAACCTTGCATTTTCACTTTCAGTTATTTCCAAGTTCTTTGCAATTTTTTTAGTTGAATTTCCTCGTTGGACATGGAAACTTACATTATAAAAGAAAAGCACTCAAAACCCAATAATCTACCCTTCTAACTTACAAAATAGGAAAAGGCAAACCAGAAATCTAAAGAAAACAAAGAAAGGAAATAATAAAGTGAGAAAAGACATTAATAAAATAGAAAATAGAACTTCAAAAAAATATAGATAAAACCAAACATTTTTAAAAAAACCTTTTGAGAGGAACAATGAGTATCTAAATAATCAATATATCTAAGATGAAATCACTGGAGAACACTGAGATAAACAAAAATGAAAAGATTTAAATTACTAAGGTTAGAATGACTCATGACCAATGTTACAGAAGCACTCTACCACTGAGGGTGAAGGGTACCCCTTCACTTTGGTATTTTATTTTGAGACCAGGCATTACTTGAGACCAAACTGGCCTCAAGTTTGTGATCCTCCTGCCTCAGACTCTCAATGAGCTGAGTCCACAAGCATATACCCACGTGTTCTGGAAAACCAATGTTATTTTGATACCAACCACCCCAAAGACCTTTAATTATGGGGAAAATGACTATCAACCAATGTGTTTTATAAATAATGTCTCAAAAAATGGGGGTAACAAGGCTGAGATGTTGCTCAGTGGTTAAGTACCCCTGGGTTCAATCCTTGGTAACAAACCACAAAAACTAGCAAAAATAAAATAAAATGTTGAGTTACCACTGTATAAATGGAAGTTTAGTTCAGTACATACTGTACTCTTCTCCATTGCAACAGTGTATTATTTATTAAGATCTATCATTACTCCTAAACTAACATCTGGCTTTGTTTCAATTTTAGAGTGGCTGA